TCCTGCTTGATTGTGTGCCTGGTGGTAACCTTTGCTTATCTGGGCGATGACTGCTGGTGAGGTGATCTTCTGGTCTTTTGTAGAGACACCAAGGCCTCCAAAGGCAGGGTCTATAAAAGCTAGGGCTGGCTCACAGATACATGTTCCTTCCTAGAGGGTTGCAAAATCCATCCAAATCTTACTAATATGGAACCACAAATCAACGTTTTGTATCATCACAGATAGAGTATAGCTGATTCCAGTTGATTCACACAGTGTTGCAGGTGGATGGCTCACACCCATTTCCTCTGCTTTCTCTCCCTTGACTGAGGTCAGCAGTTATAATTGTGAAGCCTTGCATTTGTGATGAAATGAAGCACTGTGAAAAGTCACTTCTGGGGTGTAAAACCTGTGATGGTCCGTAAACTAGAGGATTATGGCCATTGTGTGATGAATCTGAATGTATGAGTGTTTAGTGCTCAACTGATGAATGAGCATATGTGTACAAGGGCTGGGTGATTTCCATCACTACTGCAATTTTTCTTTCTTGTTGAGAAATGTGTACAGTATGGTAATCCATCCAGTGACAACAATGTATGCTTCGTGCACTGTCAATCGGTATCAAAACCCCATTACTACATATAAAGTAGCATATATAAAGATTTCAGCTATAGTTCTACTTTACCAAGCCATTCTTCTCTGTAGATTGATCTGGGTTAACCTACGTGTGGTGTATTTTAACATACTGTCTAAAAATGTGGTTTCTGATCATTGACTGTGGCCTAAACACTAGTCTCGCTTGCTCAGCTGTCCCGTTGCAGGGAATCAAACAGCTGCTCCCTCATCCAGCAGGCTGCCTCTGGCACGTTCTATGTTTCTATGTATATCGATCTTCCAGCCTGATGAAAATCTGTCTGTGATTTCCCCAGGATGAAATAAATGTTCTTTATCATCAAGGGCTTCATTCTGTATGAACTGCATCAACATGAAATGTATCAATAGAGAGGCATCAAATAAAGCCACTGTAGGATGCTTTTTATAATGAAGGAAAATACTGAAACAAAAATCCATTCTTCTTAGAACTGATAAAATGCAGGCATTTTTTTTTTCAGGTGGGGCAAGGAGGGAGACGTCAGTCTGGGTCTATTGGGAAAGCAACTTTAAGGTATATTTTAGGGTGATAAACACACAACACACAAAACACTAAACAAAAGCAGCAGCATCTTCCAGAATTATAATAATTATAGTAATGTCTCTGTCTCCTCCTCCTCCTCCTCCTCCTCCCCCCCCCATGTCTTGAAGTAATTGGAGACATAAAAACACCTAAAAATTAAACACTAGTAGTTTACTCCATAGTATAGTGGAACTGATATCACTGATATCACCCTTCAACTTTTAACTGAGTCCCTGATAAAATGTCACGAAAGATGACAATAAACATGCATACGGTTAATTCTTTCGCTGTGGCTATCATTAAATGGTAATTCCTTGCCTTGAAGGGTCTTGGGTTGTGGCGTGTCTCTGTTGTTCTTGTTCTCTTTGTGACACAGTGGAGTATTTATAATGCGGGATCATGAGACAAAGTTTGAAGATGAAGTCTTACTTTGAAAGCAAGCATGGATCTTGTCTGTTAGCTCTTCTTGAGCTGTCTTCTGATAGCTCAGTTCAAGCATCATATAAACAGCATTTCACAGATAAATAGCAACTTGGAGAAAGCATTCATTTCCTTTCTCTTCCCCCACTCCCTGTCCGTAGCTTTTTCCTATCAGGAAACAGAGCATGCCAGACTGCTTTGAGACATGTTATAAGATCTATGTTTATAGGGGGCAAAAATGGATCGCAGTTAAAAACTACAGAAATAGGGGAGTGTCACATCTCTCTCTCTCCCTCTCTGCCTTGAATGACAAATTCAATGGGGGTGTCTATTTTTAACCTCCTGTTCTTTCCTTCTGGCAGAGCAATCAGTGTTAGCTGAGCTCTTTGACGGAATGGAGCCAAGGAACCCCATTTGCTGCCTTCTGCAATGACCAGCAGCTTTACCCAGCTGCCAGAGGGGAACCTTTTCACATGAAGCCCAGTCCTACGGCAACACCATGTCAAGCGACAATAGTCCCAGTGAGCCACTTTCCACAACAACTGTTAGTTCAGTTCTGGTTGAGGCTGGGGATTGCAGAATTGTCATCGCTCTTCTTAAGGTAAGCGGCGCCGAGCCTAATTCCGTCTCTGCACCCTTGGCTAGATTTGTGTTCTGTACTCTTTGCTCAGAGATTCACATACAGTGTAAGAGTTGATGCTGAGCCACTGAAGGAAGAACCCAAAGGAGAGGGATAACGTACTACGAGTTTCTGATGAGTGAGAGAGTTTAAAAACCAATCAAGCATCATCTCAAATAAATGATTTGGTTTCTTTAAAGATATATTGCCTGAAATTAAATAGACAGCCCAGCAATGTGTGCAGGAACATCTTTGTTTACATATAGGCATTTTCTCTGATTGTAATTGCATTCATTCAGAATTTATAACTTTGTTTTTCATATTTGTTAAGGATTATATTCCGTTTATAAAAGTGCATTAACCTAAGTTAGCTGATTAGCTAAAGGAATCATTATGATGTTAATGCATAGGCAAATCATTAGTGCTCATATGGTGCAGATATCAATTTGCATTTTAGAAAATGAAAGGGTTGATTTAAAACCTTACTGGGAATTATCTCACCATCTCATTTTAGTATATGCATTCATTGCACATTTACTCTGTTGAAACTTAAGTATGCTAAAGTTTATGTGTTATCATATTTTTCTGTGGGCCTCTGAGAATTGTTTTTGATTGCGGTGACATGCAAACATCTTTAATAAATAAAAATAAATAAATAATATGTATAAATAAAAGTAAACAAATATTATTATGGGATTGTAAGGAAAGACCAGGCTGATCCAAAATAGTGAAGTTCAGAGTAGACTCATTAAAATAAATACGTGATTTAGTAACCTTAGTTCTATTTATTTAAATGCTCCTGCTCTAAGCCTGACTACATTTAGATCGAACCCCACATCCTTTACATCCTTTATGCTGATTTTAGCTTATTACTGTCTGAACCAACTACTGTGCAAAGATATGGAGTATCTGCTTAGAACAATATTTGCTTATATTTATATTTTAGTGTGGAGAATGGGTACAGCTGCAGCTAGTTGAATCAGTACCAAATGTATTAGAAATTGGCAGCAATGAAGAAGAGACCAAAAAATTATTACATGATCATGAACTTCTCCTGGCTAAGCTTAAGGTAAGAGAAATAATATATTTAACCTGAAATACTATAACTCGTGGTTATCGTTGTGATCTGAAAGTTGAAACTGACCATTCAGCAGAATTTTGTGCATTATCACAATCAATCTTAGAGGACATGAGGAGTGCCTCTGCGTTATTAAAATAAGCCTTAAAAATCAAGAAGTAAATTATCTTTTCCCAACAGTTCTTCAGATCTTGTTTGTACCTAACTTCTCCCAAACTCTTGCTTCACAGTCAGGAGTTAACTGCATGTGATCAGCATCCACAGACAAGCATAGGCAAACATTTGCTTGTGATACCAACACCAGTCTTAATCTTCTGCCAATGGCTACCACCAGGTGGCACAGTCAGCAACAAGCATCAAGCCTAAGTGCCCTCCAGATGTGTTGGACTATAATTTCCACCAACCCCACTGGCCTGGCTGGCTGAGGATCATGGTAGTTGTAGTCCCACACAGGTGGTAGGCAATAGGTTGGTGGAAGAGTGATGAAGACCTTTTCCTATCCCAAATCTAATAATAATGAAAATGGATCATGAAGCACAGCAAATATGAACAAATCAACGGTAGTATTTACTCCCTAGATTGGTCAAGTATGGTTTTAAATCCCTGAAGGAAAGATGGTGAAGTACTCTTATCCCCTTCTTTTTTGTCTTCAACTCTTAGCATCTTCAACTCTTAGCACCATACATCTGTATGTACAAATGTTGGTGTACTGTTTCAGTGGGCACCAGAAAACGGGATGAAAACACGTTTAACTTCTATTTTATAGTCCAATTTATCATGCTACCAGTAACCAGATTTGTGGGGGTACCTGGCTGCAAAGCTCCAGATGACTACTAGATGGCAGTAGTTGACACAGTCTTCTGAGGTTTTTGCAACTCGGATCTGGCAGCCCACTTAACCGAATCCAAGTAAATAGCCGCTTATCAGGGCTGGCCCTAACAATTCACGATACACCAAACTATTAGCCATGCTAGCTAGGGCTTTTGGCACTTCTGGTTCAGAAAAGTTACTTTTGCATCCATCAGGGGGAGGTGGCCCTCTCAGGCAGCAGACTTTGTTATCATGAAGAGGCATCCAGTTGTTGCTACTCATTTTTTTTGTTGTTACTGTCTTTGTTTTTTTAACAGGCGGAGCAAGGGTGACTGAGATGGGTGTCAACGTTGCAACACCATGATCAAAACCACCTCCTTTTATGTGTTGCATACAGGAAAGGGGCAGGGCTTTGATTGCATGGGCACGGCCACCATATTGACTTTTTTGACACCCCCCCCCACCCCCACAGATGTCCCGGCAGGAGGAGTGGGTGAGAGGTTCCTGTCTTGGGTGCAAAAAACAAAGCTATAGCTTTAGGGAGAGATGCAGAAGAACCAGTTGCTGCTTCAGTTCAAACAGCCAAACATTTGAGGCCATTTTGCCATTGGCAGAAAGCTTATGGAAAAGGAAAAGTTATTAATGGTTCTGAAGAAAAGGCATTATCTCACTCCTGGCGGTGTCATTAATCATCCTGCACATAATGCTCAGGTCCCTGTGTATAATGGGATAGCATTTGGAGTTTTTAATGCAAATGATTTGAATACATAGGCGCCTCAAACAATATACACTAAATTTTAGCACACATGGTATCAATCCGCAGCTCACAGCCTCCACTCGTGGGGTTGTACCATGTATTCAGTACAAATAATTGCAGCAGCTTCTTTTCCTTAATAAAAGCAGAACATACTGATTTTGTGTGCTGAAAAATCCTGAACAGAACTTGGGTCTTGTAAGGCGAGGTGAACAGCTTATATAAGAATTAGTTAAGGAAGTTGTTCACTTCTGAACATCCCAGGGAGGAATAAAAAGCCGGCCCAGAAGCAGACATCTCCTTCAAGGAAGTTCTAAAGCAATGCATTTTTCATAATGAACTACTTCCATATTAGTGGGAAATACAATTTCAGAGAAAATTATGGATTGAAATCCTACTGGGAGGTGATTATGCGAAGCAACGTTCTGCCAGAATTAGACAGAATTGAATCAGGAGGCAAAACTTAATTACTTCAGACAGGAGGTAGGGAATGGTGTTATTTGTTTTAATTGGTAGCAATACATCACACATCTCCTCTAGAAATTCATGATGGCGCTCCTTCCTCCAATTTTTCTCACAACGACCCTGTGAGATAAGCTGGTCGGAGAGAAAGCATCTGTCCCACAGTCATCCAGTGAGATATCATGGCTGAAAGTCAACTTGAACCTGGTCATCCCCAAGTCCTAATCCAACATCCTAAGTACATTGGCTCCCTGTAATGCTTCAACAATGAAAGTTATTTTAAATGAAATAAATCTTTGCTACCTTCATAATATTTTTTATAGTGTGTTATAACACGTAGGATCTCCCTATGCTGCATCTGGAAGCTGGAAATGAGAAGGGGCCATGTAGCTATTTGGAAGAGTGTCCTTTGCCTCTTGAAATCTTTCTGCCCCTGATCCGTATCTTAAACATATCCATTTGCACCTTGAAAACATAATACCCGGAATGGAGTCTACATCTATCAGCTTGCCAGCAGAATGAATGGCAGGGAAAGATTTATCTACAGCAAACAAAGTATTCAGTAAACCTGGAGCCATGCTGGTTGGGAATTCTTGGAGTTAGGGTCCTCAACATATCTGTAGGGTGCCAAGTTAGGAAAGACTCAGATAAAAAGGCTTTAGGCTGCTCCAGCAGAAACTGGACTGGTTTAGGCCTAGTTAATTTGCTTGCCCCGCAGTCTTCACTGCACAATTATTCATCTTGCCTCCATAGATCTAGGCCTGGAATGGCTGAGAGCATTTTAATTTAATGTAATTGTGAGAGCATTTTAGCTGATTAACTTTTTCAAAGGATAGAGACCCATTCCTCAGGTTGTCTGCTGCCCATTTTTTTGCCACAGATTTTGTTTTCTAGTGTTGGAATCCTTTCTATCATAACGTTTATCTCCTTGAGCCAAAACGTTTTTTCTTTGAATATGAATCCCAGGTAATGGTAAGGAATAATGCTGATGACCGAAAGTGGTGCTGAAGATAAAACGGGGAAAAAAATAAGGATGATGAGATAATAATAGAATGGCTAGCAGCCATTCCAGGATTAGGTTTGAGAAGATTAGATGACTAATTGCTGGCACAGGGAGAAATCAAGAGAATTTCAAGTGTGGTGTTATCAGTATTTGGTTAATGCTCAGTTTTATTTCTTCTTTTCAGCAGAGCTACAGGAAACAGTGAAAGATGTTTGAGAGATGCCAGGAGGGTAAATGAACTGAACCTTAGTTCAGGACATATAGAAATCTGGTTAATTTAGGAACTGGTAATGGTTGACCATATCTGAATGGGAATACACTTTGTAAACTGGGTGTGCTCTTCAACTTGAACTGACGACGCTCCCTTGAATTATTTGCCAACTCTCCATCTTTCTTGGAAGTTATTATTAGGACTGTTTTATATCGTATTTTAATGAATTTTATCTCTGCTATAAACCGTCCAGAATCATTTCAACAAGATGGGCAGTGACAAATTAGATAGATAGATAGATAGATAGATAGATAGATAGATAGATAGATAGATAGATAG